AACTAAGAGTCCCCTCAACTTCATCATATTCCCTATTAATCAATTTCTCCTTCCAGCCTTATCTCATTAACTTGTTTCCTGCCCATCCTATCCTTCCCTTCATCATCTCTCCTCCTCTCTATAAAGCCTCAAGCTTAGATAGATGAAGTCCAGTTTAAAATAGACTCCTCATTTCAGAAACATGTAAAATCAGGGGAAGATGTTAATATTGTGTCCCCCTTACATGAAAATGTGATGAATGGTCATTGAATTAATTAAATCCTATTGTACTGTTTCTTAACAGAAAAAAGTTCAAAGGATCTTTGCCAGTGCCTTGAGAATAAAAATTGTTGCCTTAATTACTAAATACTTTTAGAAATATGTATGTTATATATGTGATATAATATGTTACATATATCAGGATATATGTAATTATTATATGAGGAGAATCAGCTTCCATTTCCAACTCTGCTACAATTCTCTGGGTACCTTGCAATTTAGAGTTAGAGGAGTCTTTTGGAAACTGAAGTCAAGCCAGGGTCAGTGAATTGCTCTAAGTCTCACAGAAGGCAAGAATATGTCTCATCTAAACTTTCTATCTCCCATAGTGCCTACCACAGTGCTTTGCACACAGCAAGTATCTAATGAATATTTGTCAAATTGAATCAAACTAGCAAACTAACTAATGGAAGTCAATCCCAGAGCATATTACCCTCCAAGGTGTAATTACCATCAAAGCAACCCTTTCTGAGTGCACAATGGGCAATTTTCTAGAGATAGAAGATTTGAGAAAATCCCTCTGCAAAGTTTTTCTTAGAGAATCTAAAATTAAGAACAAGAATAGCTAGTATTTATATCGAACTCTGTTGTTGTTGTCATGCAGTCATTTCAGTTGTGCCAGACTCTCCACGATCCCATTTGGGGTTTTCTTGGCAAAGATACTGAGGTGGTTTGCCATTTCCTTCTCCAGCCCATTTGACAGATGAGGAACTGATGCAAATAGGGTTAAGTGACTTGCCCAGGGTCACACTACTAATAACTGTCAGAGGCCAAATTTGAACTCAGGAAGATGAATCTTCCTGACTTCAAACACAGCCCTCTCTCCACTGTAGCACCTAGCTGCCCATATTTCACTTAAGGGCTTGTAAAACACTTTACAAATATTATCTCATTCTATCTTCATAACTCTGGGGAAAAGGTGCTATCATTATCCCCATTTTGCAGATGAGGAAACTAAGGCTAGGGAAGCTTAAGTGACTTGTCCAAGGTCACAAATCTAAGTGTCCTTACCTACCTGAGGTAGATTCTATTATCACCCCCATTTTACAGATAAAAAAACTGAGGCTGATGGACATTATATAACATGCAGAGATTCATACAGCTAAGTGATTGTCTGAGATGGGATTACAATTCAGGTTGTCTAGACTCTAGGGCCAGAGCTCTATCCACAGTACTACCTACCTTCCTAGAAAGGATCAAGACATGCTTACTGAGTGCCTATTCTGTGCCCAATGGCATGGTATAGTGGAAAGAATACCAGATTAGATGTCAAAAGACCTAGGTTCTAGTCATGTGACCTTGGGTTATTCTTTTCATCATGGAGGCTCAATTTTTTCCTCTGGAAATGTGGAAAATAGTATCTGTCTGCCTTATAAGTTTGTTCTGAGGATCAAATCAGAATGAGAGTAGAAACTCTGAAAAAAACAGTAAAGCTTTTTTTTTATAAGAATTTTTTAAATAAAAAAAATAACTGTAATATATTATTACTATTATGGTCCAGCGGAAGATACCAAAGCAGTTTCAGGTAGATACATAGCCCCTGTCCCTGAGGAATTTTTTGGTATGATTTGAATCCTAACTTTGATTGATATTGTTATCTTATCCCTGATGTGTACCTGCAGAAAATATCACAGTGTTAATGGTGATCAATATCTGTGCATACAGATGTGGACAAAATTGTTTATCAACTAAATTCAGCAAACTTTTAATATTAATATTAATATTCACATCAATATTTTTTCATCATATGTACATGTATAGAGATAAGAACTAGACCTTTGATGATTCTACTGGTATTCAGAACTCTTTGATAAAGAAACAACTTCAACAGGGTAGGTCAACACACCTTCTATGCAACTTAGAGTCAGAGTGGCCTAGACTCCTGAGTGGTTAAATTAGTGCCACAAAGTATTCACTTAAGACATAGCCAACACATGGCACAGAACAGACTTGAACCCAAGTCTTCCTGCTCTATATTCAGCACTTTAGAGTGCACATAAAGTGCTTTAGTGCCAGCTATATGGCGAAGTGGATAGAGCAACTGCCCTGGAGTCACGAGGATATGAGTTCAAATGCAGCCTCAGATACTTGACATTTACTAGCTGTGTGACCTGGGGCAAGTCACTTAACCCCGATTGCTGATTGGCTAATTAAAGGTCAACTGTTAGCATTTAGTATCAAACATTCACAGCATAGAAAAACCATTTCGTGAACAGAATTTTGACAATCAGGAGCTAATGAAATTAAACCAATACCTTTCCTACCTACGATGTAACTAAAATGTCCAATCTTGGAAAAGGAGTGTCATTAATCATAATTCTTACTATAATTAAGTCCATGTTTAATCATTTAAGGTTTACAAAATAATTTGTATGCATTGTCATGTTTGAACCTCACAATAACTATATGGGTTAGGTACAATTATTATGAAAATTTTGCGGATGAGAAAAAATGAGTCTATAAAAGGTTAAGTGATTTACCCACTAGGGTCATTGAACTAATAACTGAGGAGGGATCTGAATGAAAGTCTTCTTGAATCTATCTACTACACCCGGATGTTCACATAGAGAAAGAAAACAAAACTAACCCCCCAAATAGTTTTCTTTCTTCCTGTACCTGGTTACTCTTTTCATTTAATGACATTCCCAGACAGTTATCATTGATGCTTTATTACCATATAGATTATGGAAAGTTAAAGTTCGCAAGTTTTACAGAATTCATAAAGAGGCTTCTTAGGAATTTCTGCATCTAACACTGAAAACCCTCTGGAGGCCCAAAAGATCACCAAAAAGTTTTGATAAACTTGAATTTTCTTTCTTCCTTAGCTCAAAAAGCATTTCTTTTGGTCCCTGTTGTTAAGATGGCAATGTTGCACTTGGAAAAAGCCTTACTCCTTCCATATTTCCACCATATTTTCATTACCTTTTCTTTTCTTTTTTTAACTTTTGAATGTCTTTTTTTTTTAAATCACCTTTTTCTTTCCATAAATTCCTGTCTTCTACATGCATGGCTTTTTCAGGCACAGACATTGCCTTTGGACTCCAAACTATAACAGCAACTCTAGAGTTTTTATTATTGGACATTAGTTATGGGTATGTCTTATTTTATGAAGATGAAATTATACAATGCAAAGACTCCCTTTCTTACATAGTGAATACAGGATAGCTAATATCTCTGGAGCATAACTATGTCACAGAACAACAAACTGAGCAAAAATCCTACCAGCCTACTATTTGGGCAATCAAGTAATTTGAATTTGATGCAGTTTGGATCCTTAAAACACCTCCCACCTTCTCTGCAGAGTGGATCAACAGACTTAAAAATCAGGCCAAAAAGTTCAAATGCATTAACTGCACGCTAGAGAAAGCAAACGAGATCATGCAGGAAAAAGTTGCGACTGGAGCTACACCCTTCCCCCCGTGCAAAGGAAAAGCAAACCTCTGTAGTCTCAAAATAACTCTGGCTTCCTTTTCACTAAAGGGCTGGACAGCTTATCAGATGTCCGAAAGCCCTGTTCCCCAATAACGGTATGACCAGCAGCCCTGAAGACATCCCACACAAAACCCTGCTTCCTCTCCCGCCAGAAATGCGGTTTTAAAAAAGAAAAATTAAGTTTACATTTGGTGTCGGTTCAGAGATCGAGTAAATCATGTTCAAAAGATTTGGGTGTAGAATCCTGGCTCTGCCACTCGCTACCTGTGTGACATTCTCTTCTCTGGGCCTAGTTATCCTTATCTGGAAAAGGAGATGACCACTTCCAGCTCTAATATACCTAATTCTGCTGCATTCTCTGGGAATCCCAGGGCAGAGGACTGACCGGATTCCGCCAGATGACAATTCCCCTGATACACCTCTGCCCCTTTATCGCCCCCCTCCCGCGCAGAGAAAGCCAAGGGAACTTCTCCTTACTTTCTGGGAAAGGCACCCAAGAGGCGGAGAAAGCCCAGCAACCTTTTCAACCTGTCGGAGGGACGTCCCACAACATCCACTCCTCCTCCCCGCCTCTTACCTCCCCAAGTCCGGCACACATAGCTCAAGAGCACAGCATTTATAGCAATCCAACTATCCACCTCCGCACCTCAGACCAAAACAAAACAAAAGCAAAAAACACCTTTCCCTCTGCCCAGCTTCCGGCGCCCCCAGCTTGTTAAACCCCAACACCACGCCCCTCCTGGGCTCAGCGCCCGCAACAGGTAAAACACCTGCAGTGATTTCCCGCCCCCCCCCCCAGCCCGCCGCTTTGCAACCGCCCACACGTATTTTGTGTGGTCAAGAAAGCGGGGCGGGGACCTGTAACCAAGAGACCTAAGTAAGGGTACCTTAGTAAAGGACTGAGGTGGCAGGAAAGGGCAGCAGCTTTCTCTCCACTTCAGCTGGCTAAGGGATACTGCCCCTACCTTTCTTCACTGCCGGGAGCTTTTCCCGCGTCCCCAAACACACACACACACACACACACACACACACACACACACACACACACACACACACACGCTCGCCTCTCGCCGGTTCTTGGGCCAATCGCCAGTTTTTTCGGCCCTTGTCTCAGCACCGTTCTCCCAGCACACAGTAAGCGCTTGATAAATGTTTGCTGACTTGTGCAAATCTGTACCTTGCAGTTTGAGATCCGACCAAAAGCTTTCCTCTCTAAGCAGCCCGGGGCGCCACTCCCTGAGACGCCGCCTCCTCCTCCCATCCCATCCCGATCGACCCACCGAGTCCCACAAGCCCGCTCCGCTACTCACCCTCCTGGTTTGGAAAGTTGGGGTGCCGCGCTGGAGCTCCACGGTGACTTCAGCCCAGTCCTAGGAAGGGGTGGGGAAGGGAGTGAGGGAGGCGAAGCCCAGCGAGGCTTTGGGGAAGGGGAAGCAGGGAGAGGGAGGAGAAAAGGGGACGGGGATAGGGAGAAAGTTTTCAATGGTTCCCAACAGAAAGGGGGAAACCCTTATTCTGTTGTGGCTGTCGGAGGCCCACCAGGGATTGAGGGGCTCCTGATCTTCCCTAGGCCAGGAAAAAAAAAAGTCTAGAACAGCCCCAGAGTTTCAGGGCAAGCTCGCGCAACCAGCCCCTGGCAGCCAGAGAGGAACTAAGCTGGGTTTCAGGGGGTTGGCTGAGAGGTTCCCAGCTACTTCCTGGTATTTTGATTTGCATACACAGCCTTCAATGGGGGAGGTGTCCGTTGGGTCTTCTTGGCTTAAAGTCTTACTCTTCTATGTGACCATCCTGAGGAGTTTAGAGAAAAAAGGGGGGGGGGGAAGGAAACCTGGGCAAAGCCAAGTGAAAACTGGTCGCCGAATTGAAGCTGCAGCCCGAGACTTTCAGATGGGGGGGGGGATATCTATAGAACTAGCCCTGGAAGGTACCTGGGAGAGTATCTACCACCCTAACATCCCTAATTTTACAGATAAAGACACAGAGGGGTTACATTGAGTAGTTAATGGCAGAGAATGGATTTGAACTCAGGTTGGTCATTTTGGGGTTCTTTCTACTACACTATGCTGCCTCTGATAGAGGGGAAAGTGAGCAAGAAGGATTTGACATTAAAATCGTGAAATGCAGCATAGTGGCTAGAGAGCTGGTCTCAGAGCGAGGAAGAACTCTCTGTTCAAGTAGTGTCTGACACATACTGGCCTTGTGACCACGGGCAAGTCACTTCTCAGTAACCCAAACAACTCTCGAAGACTATAAATTGCTATGCTGGTACAGCTAGGCATGGACGGAGGGAGTTCCCTACACCAATAAAATAACAGGTCGGTTAAGAAAAAAAAGAACATGGATGGAAGTTAGGATGCTAGAGCACATGACGATCCATTTTATCTGAGACCCAGATAGTTAAATGATTTGCCCACCGTTACACAGGTGAAGCAGAGTCTGAATTTGAACCCAGGTTTTCTTCAGTGCTAGTTTCACTCCACCGTGACCCTAGATCACATCCCATCCTCCTTTCAGGAGCTAGCTGTTAGGATTTCTCTTCGACAAAGCCACACCTATCCATCACTCATTACAGCTTAACACTCCCTCAGCTGTGAAAGCTCTGAACAATCCCTTTTTCTGCCCCTGAGGACAGTTATAACCTAAACTCAAAGGAGGCAGGGACAGCACAACTGGACAGGTGCCTTTAGGAAAATCCCCCTCGAACTCTCTAGCATATCCACACCCCTTTCCTTCAGATCCTTTTCTGTGACAAGAGCCCTAAGAAGGTAGGCTCTCCACTGCAGGGAAGTAATAGATGAAGAAGAGCCCTGTGTTCCCCTTTCCCCCTTTTCATTTGGAATAGAACAAATCTCACAGGATTATCTCACGCGAATGGGTTGCATTTTGCATCACAGATCTCATTCATTACATTACCTTTCCCCAGATATCCAATCCTTTTCCAAACTTTGCTATCCCTTTTAAGAGCACCTCAATCCTTCCAGTCATCCAGGTTTGAAACCTTGGTGTCATCTTTGACTTCACTTTCCTTTATCCCACACATTCAAGCAGCTGGCAAATCTTGTAATTTCTAGATCTACAACATCTCTCATTTTGTCTGCTTCTCTATTTTCTCCTCTCACACCATCACCCCATTTCCAGGCCTTATCATCTCTCACCTGAACCGTTTAATGGGATTCTGATTGGCTTCCTTGCCTGTCTCTCCCTCCTGCAATTCATCCTCCCACACATACCTAAGTGGTTTTCCATAAGCTTAGATCTGACCAAGTCATCCCTGGTACCCAGTAAACTCCAACTGTTCTTTGTTACCTCTAGGATCAAATATCAAATCTTCTGTTTGGCATTTAAAGACCTTCACAACTTGGCCCCAATCTACCTTTCTAGCCTTATTATACATTACTCCCCTTCATGCACTCGAAGGTCCTGCCAAACTGGTCTTCTTGCTGTTTCTCATGCTCATACAAAAAACACAACTAAAATATCCAAACATGAATAGAAAATTAAGGTCTGATGTAATGCATTAAGCAGAATCAAAGAAAGAAAGAAAGAGGAATGGATTTATATGGAAAACTTGCTGCTAAGATGAAATCAGAGACAATTCACTTTTGCTTTTGTTGTTGCTTTGTTTATAGTGAATATTAACATACCAAGAAACATGACTCCTGCTGAAAAGCTGTTCTGCCCACTGACAGTTGTGACCTATTAATTTGATTGTGGCATTGCATATCTTTCAATAGAAAAGTATCCAAACATGAAATTCATCAGCTTGGTTAGCCATATAGATCAAATTAATTTAATGAATACTAACCATTATAACTCTATTCCCCAGGACATATAAAGTTGGTTTATTTTTTTAAATAATGAAGCATATTCAATCATATTCTCAAGAATGAAGTTTTTGTGTATCGTTAAGAGAGAAACTTTAACATATTTTTAAAATATTGCTTATTTCAGCTTTTTAATTTCTATTTTTATTTACCATGTTCTGTGTAGTATATAATATATTAATACAATAGTACATTATTTAATTTATAAGCATACATACAATGTATACCGAAGTCTTAGTGTATTTTAAGTTTTAATAGCTTAAATAACAGTATATTGGGAATGCATGCTAATTTTTTTTTTACTGATAGAGGTGCATAATAAATGTTTGGAGACCACTCACTATCTTAGAGCATCCTCTCTACCTGCCTCTCTTCCTGTTTCAGTACTACATTAAATTTTTCTGCATGACTTTCAAAGACTTCCATAATTTTAATACCTCGAGGTCTAATATGTGAGAGGCCCGTAACCAAGAAACTGGGGATACAAAGTGATCAGATACCCATGACGAGTCTGCTCTCAACAGCTAACAATTCAATGGATTTGAAAAGTAACTAAAATTTCTATAGCTCTTCAGAGTTTGTGAAGCACTTTACATAAGTGATCTCATTATTTTCTCATAACAATCCTGAGGCAAATGCAACACATGTAATTTTCCTCATTTTACAAATAAGGTATCTTCACAACAACCCAGTGAAGCAAACACTACCGATAGTACTATACCAATTTCACAGGTAAGAATATGAAGGGTGAGAGCAGTTAAATACCTTGTCCAGAGTTGCATACCTAAAGTGTTTTAAGGTCTTGTACCTGACTCTGTCTTGTTCTCTAGCCATAATACCCTGCTGCCTCCTGAGTTATACCTGGGCTACAAAGAAGAATAAGATGTCACAGAATCTGAGTTGGAAGGAACCTCTAATACCTTACTAATAATCTCCACAATCTAGATTGTGGCATCTTCATCTTTGTTTGACTTATTCACTTTAATTCAACAAACATTTATTAACCATTTACTGTCTTAAAGACCTTTAGTAAAAGAGAACCTTCGGAGACAACCTACATAGCTCTCCAAAAATTAGAACGTTTTCCCCATATCAAGCCAAAATTTCATTCCAAAATTTCCCCACATTTCTCCTAGTTTTGCCCTCAGGCCAAGAAGAACAAGTGTAATCTGTCTTCCACCTGGCAATCCTTCAGATGCTTGAAGACAGGTATCATGGTTCCCTAAGTGTTCTCTTCTCTAGGCTAAACATCTCCAGAGCTTAACATTGTATAATTCTCTATACCCCTCACCATCCTGATTGCTCCAGCTCCACAGTATTGTTCAAAAATGTGATGCCTGGGACTGAACGCAGTACTTCAGCTGTGGTCTTTCCAGATAAGAATACAAGAGGACACAAGTATTTTGATGTATTCATCCCAATATTTCACTAGAATATCAAATCCATCAGTTCAGATCACAACTCATCCATGTCTTCTCATCCTGTATAAGTTTTGTGGATGTCCTCCCATAGAGTGTCATCCCAACATCCTGGAGGCTTTCCTCCAGGTCTTTTTATATATCATGGGTACCAGTGAAGCAGTCCTGTTATCCCTTACGTGATCAGCTTGCCTTTTTTCCTGAACACATGTTGTACGTTTCCTCAATTCAATAACTTATGCCACTTTTTCAAAGGTCACTATTGGAAATATGTTGCTATCTACTTCCAATCATATCTCCATTGGCCTTTGTGTCACTCATAATGCTGATTTTTTTGGAGATTACTGTGTTCAAGATTTATAACCATGTAGCATTACTAAAAGAATATGTCTTTTTTTTGGATGGATTTTTTTTTACTGAAGATTAGCTTGGGATTCTTGAAAGCAACATTCAATGTATCAAATGTAATTAATTCAATCTAATAAGCATTCATTAAATATCAGTTTTATAAAGGTATTAAATTATCCAGTTTACTGTCTTCTTCTTATTCAATCCTGGGCCCTACGTAGTATCCATTTTTAGTTCCTGCCTCAGGTTTATGCACTGATGAACTAATTAAATGGACCAACAATCGTACTGACTTCCTCCTTCATAGCTGAGAATGGAATACAAATGAGTAAGCATTCTAAACTACCACTGCCATTGGCTGCCATTAGTCACCTAATGGCCAACCTATTAATGAAGTAGCTCTCCATTCTTTAGTAAACTGCTCTCAGACAGCAAAAAAGACAGCAACAGCTGAAGACCCAGATCCCTGGGGTGCTTTCCAAGAGACCTCTTCCAAGCTGACATCAACTCATTAATGACTTGTCTGAATCCAGCCATCCATCCAGTTCTGAATCCATATAACTGTAATATCATCTAGTCCACGCCTCTCCCTCTTAACCACAAGGACATCATTAGAGACTCTGTCAAATGCTTTATAAAAATCTAGGTATACTGCATAGAGTATTCTCACCATCTGCTGTCTATTGATCATATAAATTTAAAGGAAAAGAAATGAGATTAGATTGGCATGTAGAAATGCTGACTATTTGTTACCTCCCCCCTCCTGTAACTTCAAAAACCACCCCTTTAAGAAAACACCTTGGAATTTCATCAGGAGCAAGCTCACCATCTTGGAGTTTGTAAACTCTCCCTCCTTGTCATTAAAAAAGTCAGACACAACTGAAAAACAACTGAACAACAACAACATGCCAGGTGCTACATTGGACTCTGATACCTCCTATGGAAACTCATGGGAAAACACAGAAAGGTCAAGCGTGAATAAGTTTTGATCTGCCTCACTAGGAGAAACTTCCAAATCAAAAAGATGGCAGATTCACTTGAGTATTTATGTTTAGTATTTCCTTCCGCCCAATTCCATTCAAT